TTCTGGTTCTGTTCATATATTGGAGCTTGTGGTAGAAGCCTTAAGTTGCGTATGGAAGATTACCCTCTTTTGGAGCTGTATTTGATCAAGCTGGTGGAGTTGTGTTGTCTGAAGATCTTCAGTTGGATTACTAGGTAGTAGTAAGCCCAGTTGTGGGCATATAAAGAACCATTGGATGTTGTGTCTGTATCATCTGGTTTGTTTTTCCTTGGAGAAGGACCTGAAGATCTGTTGTGGAACTCGTGATTCACATTCTGACTAAGAAGTACTCTATCTTGTCATATGGGAGAATGATGATGTAAAAGGATTATCTTGGAGGATGATGTGAAGGTATTGTACAAGACTGGAGTGGTTCATTGCATGAAAATCTGAACTATGATGAGTTATATGGAAGTGAATATTCACCAGTTAAACTAGAAGTGTTCTTACTTATCATATGGGAGAATGATGAGGAAAGAATGTCTTGGATTATGGGGTGTCTATCTTGTTATCTGACTCAGGCCAGAAGTCTTGTAGAGAAGTGGTAACTCTAGAAAGAAGTGGAACTGCTTGGTACCTTCTCACTGTATGAGCATGGAGTTGGTCTTGAGATATAATGTGGTGATCTTGGAGAAACTTTTATAGAAGATAGGGGGAGAGCTTCTGTCTGATGGGTGTACTAGTTGCCTGTGATTCAAGTAGTGAGTGAATGAGTTCAGCAGGTGTGTTGAACAAGGAGTGCGCTCTTGAAGACATGAAGATGAGTCTTATGTTTTCCATTCACGTGCTTCTAGAAATAGAGCACTGGTTATCCTTGATATGGGAAGTTATACTTCTATCTAGGATCTGTTACTACAATAGTACAGTTATTTCTCAAGATTGTTTGTGGTTTCAAGTAGTTTGTGACTGTATGTCTCTAGGAGGATGGAATGTCATACCAGATGTTGTGACATTATGTTACTGCTCTAGCTCATGGGGTATCAACGGATCAAGTCAGGTATTTGGGCCTCTATCCAAGTGTTTTGTATTATATTTGTATAACTGGTGAAGGTGAAGATCAAAACATCATCGACCTTGATCTTGTGCATATGAAAGGACTTTAACCCTCACATTTTGGATATGTTTCTAGTATTTCAAAGCTGAATCTGTGAAATCTTCTAGATAGAAATCCTGCAACTACTTCTGCTATTTGTTCTAGTATGGGTTGTGAATTAAGGGGTGCAGAGTTGCATGTGTTTCCAGTGTGTGAATATGAAGATGTTGAAGTAAGTCTTCATGTGTTTGGGTTCTCTCTTTCAGGGGGAGTACTGAGTATGCATGACAGAGGGAGTTGTGTACCTGTCTGATGTATAGCTGCATTATTGTAGCTTGTACAGAGTTTGCTGATTCTCAGGCAATCTTGTGTTCTTGGACCACTGGTGAGGTTGTAATGACATTGTGATGTCTGTTGTACCTTTCTACCTTGACAAGGTGTCTATGTGGTAAAACTACATGAAATTTTATTTCTCTCTGTGATGTTCTGATGTTTGTGATGATCTGTTAAGTTGCTGTTGTTGTGCCCTTCTAAGATCTTCATGTGGATTTCTGTGGAAATGATAAGTCATGTGATTGGTGTCTTAAGAACCAAGGATGTATTCTCAAGGAGCTATGGTATCTGGATCTGTACGAATCAGGATTGAGTTTACAGTGTTTGAGTGTGTTACTGAAGTGGTACAGTCTTTATATTAATTAGAGATCAAGCAGCTTGTGTATCTCTTGGAAGATTGTGAGATGACTGTATTTTTGGACACCATGTACAGTTTGTGAGATGAGTTGATGTACATTTACTCCAATATTTGTCAATTTTTGACTAAACCAAGAGGGAGTAAAGTGTTGTTATTTGTTCCTACTGCTAAGGAAAGAATAGTATTTTGTAGTGCTTGCTTAATGCAACTATTAAGGGGGAGCTGGATGTTTTTGAGAAAACTACTGTTGCTGCCCTGATATTGTTTAGTTGTTTTAGCCAAAAGTTTTCAAAGGGGGAGATTGTTAGTTCCATGTTTCTATGATTGTCCATGGTTATATGATTGGCTAAATTTTGGTAAAATATAATTCTGCATTGATGTTAAGCAATATGTCATAACATCTACATCTACTGTTATGACATAACTGCTGTCATGTGTTTTAATCAAGATGTCATGCTGAATGTCATGACATCCTTGTCTGGTACAGCAGGAGCTGCTATTTTGACAGAGGTACCTCATCAGTATGTGCAGGTCAAAGAGATTGATTAGGAACAAAGTACATATTTAATTGGATTTCATAAAAAGGATCTTTGAGACTTTTTAGGAAACTATGAAATATTTATTTCTACTATTATGAAGAAGATTATGCAGAAGATTTGGAGTTTAACTTAATTGGCAGGCATTTTGGTAAAATTAGGTGTAATCACAAGTCAATGTTATACAGGATGTCGTGACATCTGTCTGTCATGAATATGTTTGTGTGTTCCTGGTTGGAACTTAGGTGCATCCTAGTTGTTGGTGGTACTGTGTGTGACTGCAGGTTGTGCAAGTTGTGTTTGCACTGATGTGTTGTGCATTAGTTGAGGGGGAGTATCACAAGATGATCCACAAATTATTGTGTTACCTGCTGTCTGGACTAGTAGGTAGTACTTAGGGTGTGAAGATGACTCTGATATGGTAATGTAGTTGTGAGTGTTATTAGCTAGTAGCTTTCCTGCATATATGGTATGATTTCTGCTGCTTGTGATCTCTGATATGGTAACAGAGTGTTTTAGCCAAAAAAATTGCTAAAGGAGGAGTTTGTAGATGCTTTTGATTGGCTGCATTTTGTGGCAAAACATTGGAGTATGTGTGAATGCCATAACTGATGTTATGACATACATGAAGGGTGTTCTGCAGGGTAAGCTGGGATAGCTAAGAGCAAGTTAAGTTGGATGTCATGCTGGATGTTATGACATCAAGCGTATGACATCAGGGCGCACAGGTTTTAGTTTCTGGTATTAGCTCAGGCTATACTTCAGGAAACATTTTAGGAAGCCTAGTTATCTCAGGCGACATATCAGGCATTGCTAAGGATAACATGGAATGCCCCTAACCAAATTGGATGTGCGCAGTTTCATGAAGAGAGGTTTATCTTGGGTAAACCTAACTTCTGCACGAAGGCCCAAAGGCAATCTGCTGCTATAAATAACAGAGGATCAATCATAATCAGACAGAGACTGAGAGATTGTGTGGTGAAGAATTCTGTTGGTGTAACTTAATCTTCACGTGTGATTTTGTGTTTTAGGGGTTTGAGAGTCTCTTGTGTGTGTGTGACTTTGTAAGTCACCCCTTGTATCTTTGGATGCATCGTAGTAGACATATTTAGGCTGTTATTTGTACAATGTTAATTGTTCACTCAAAGCTTTTAAGCAAGAGTGTATTGTTCTTGATTGAAGCTGTTAAGCAAAATCAAGTATTGTGACTTTGAAGAGTGTCTTCTAAAGTCTTCCTTTTGTATTGAACTGTTTATCACTGTTGTGATTGTGGGGAGTGAGAGGTGTCTCTTGTCTAGTGTGTTCTAGGCAGGAATTGCATTGGGTAGAGATTAAGTGAGGAGTTGTAAACTTGGAGTTTTGCTCTGAATTAATTCTACTAATAGTGGATTTTCTTCCTGCCTTGGTAGCCCCCAGATGTAGGTGATGTTGCACCGAACTGGGTTAACAATTCATTGCGTTATTTATCTTTCAGCATTTACAATTCTGCACAATTTAAATGGTTAGATAAATAGTTCTGTCAGTCTGCAGATGTTACAACAGATGTCATGACATTAGAAAATTTTAAAGGAATTTAAAAGGGTCATGTTCTATCCTTGTTCTGTTTTAACAGAGATCAATGTTCTTTGCATCTCTTAGGACATCTGAGATCTGCATACCAGAATTTCAGTTACTTTTTTCCAAAATCTCCGAACACTAAAAATATTTGTAATTTTTCACGGTGGTAAAAAAGCATTTAAATAGCAACCCAGATTAAGTCACAATTAAAAAACAAAACCTAGAAAAGCTCACAGTGCACTATTTGGGTTAAGTCACAATTAAAGAAACAAAACCTAGAAAAGCTCACAGTGCACTATTTTGCCATATATTCTATTTTAGATGATACATTTTGTAATTCTGTTTTTGGCATCTCTACTAAATTTCCAATATCTATAGCATGTGGTTGATGCGAAGAGTGTGTTAAGAGTTGTAAACCTATAACACATGACCTGAAAAGTTTTTTAGTTTTTTCTAGATTAAATTGTAGATAAAAAGAGTCTCATAAAAGATCAGTCATAAATGAATGAACAATAACTAACCAACACATAGACTCTAATCTAATCTAAAGAGTTAAGACGGCCCTGATAGATAACCTACTACTTGATTTCACCTGATAAAAAATAGTATCAAGAAAACCAAAATAAAATCGAGTAACAAACAAAACTTGTATTGGTACAATTCCAATATAGAGCAGCATACATGATATCCTATTCTATACATACTACTACACCATTCCATTCAATATCCTTTACACTTTTTGTCTGAGTCAGATCCATTGCAAATTTATACATCTACCTGCATACATGTAGATTGTGTTCTATACAATATACAACTTTTGCAGTTTATCAGGAACGGTCAAATTAATAAACTCATCATCGTGCCTTCTCAGGCACTTCGAGACGCCACTATAACACAGGACATGGCAAACATGGTGCATGGAGAACCTACAGCACTTCCGAATTCTTAGACAAGAATTAAGAAGCAAAAATCGCCAAGCTTAACACTATCGTTACGCTTGGCAGTGAAGGACGGAGAATCGGCTTCTGAGTTTATACTGTTGAACACAGTCTTCTTCTTAGACCCTTTTTCGTATTTGAAGAAAGCTAGATCCCTGTAATAAAATCAGAAAATGCATCAAGTTTGATCCTTTTTTCAGGTAAAAGCTTTCGTTTGCGGAATATTTTGTATTTCCTTTTTAAAGAGATGGTTAAGAATTGTACATTCAGTAGCTTCTGGTTTGGCTCAAAGGATCATAATCATAGGCCTCGCCAGCTTTGACAAACCGGCCCTTCACGCGTCTTCGTACATCAGCCCTTTCCTTGCGAGATGCATACCTCACTCTTTTGTCAAACCTAGAACATAATAACAAATCAATGTTAAATCAAATATAAACACTATTCGAAGTTTAAGAAACAAGACTAATCCCGTAACCATATAACGTTTTTATGGACCTAACTCACTCATTGTTACAAAATTACTTACTTGCGTGTCTTCTTCTTTTCCTTGTATCGCATAACAGCACTGCAGCGGTTAGCAGATTGTAGCTGCAGCTCATTCTCTGGACAAGTGTTTAACCAAGGAGGTTCTCCCATGAGAAACATTGAAGAAGCTCCACAATCTTGATAATCTCCGGCACTACCATCTTCATTAATACCAGAAAAAGAAAGACTTGACTGGGATTGCTTTGTCGTAATACAAAAATTCGGCTCAGTTTTAGTACTCAATATCGAATCTGCAGATGCTGCATTGCTACATGCTGGCTGCGCTGCATTGACATGTCCGATCGATGAACCCTGAACATAAAAGTTAGATATAGAAATAAGTACTATAAAACAGTCTCACAGGTGCTTAAGTCAGTAGATAAGTTTAAATAAGCCGATGTAATCAAATGTTAGAAAAACCAAAGATGACAAGAATATAGTACCTCGGCAGCTATAGCATCTTGACAACTGGAATCTCCAGCAGACATGGCTTTTGCTCTGAATAAGCTGTTAAATCCACCATTTTCAAAAAGTTCTTCAGAATGAGTGAGGGCCATACCAAAAAGTTCATCATAGTTCTCCATATTTATATCCATTTCATCCATATCGAAATCGCCGTACAAATCATCATCATCTTCACTAATTTCAGGGCATTTCGTAGCAGGACAGTATAACTATAGATCAACAATAAGTGTTAGCTATATAACAATTTGACGAAATTGTGAGAATTTCAATTATAAACCATGGTTTGTGTAACTAATTTAAGTAAACATTCAGATATACCTTTGGCGCACGTTCATTGGTAGGTCCATCGGGACGGTCGATCATGTTTGGTTCTTTGCTTGATTCGGGCATCGAAGATGTACCGACAAAAGAATTATCCATATCAGGCTGATCAGTAGCTTTATCCGAGTCAGATGCATTCTGGTTTTTCGGATCGACCCAAGCACTTCTATTCTCATTAATACTCATGAAACCAAGTTCTTGCTCACACGTAGTTTCACTTAAAGAAGGAATATCCAACACAAAAGACCATATCGAAGACAGTTCCGCCGACGAAGGACAGCCCGAGTAACAATTGATTGTTTGCCTCTTATGATTGGAAGACGCCGAGTTACCATGGCCTAACCAGTCACAATTCTGACAAAGTGAAATTTTCTCTTCCGAACACCTGACCAAAGCAGGCTGCGAACTGCATCTCTCACATAAAAGCGTCCTTGAATGCCTTCGAGCAAGCGTATTCGCTGAATGAACATTTCGATCACACGACAAACATAAACACGCTGCATCGGATCGGCAGTACACCATCGACCTCTGGTCTCCACAAAAATCACATATGTATCCCATCTTTGAACCAACTTTAGTCCAATAATTGTGATTAAAATAGCAAAATTTCAATACTGTGAATTCAGAAGCTGCAAAAACACAAAACAGTTAGCAATAATTTCATACCACAAAGATTATTGAAATTTGCAGCCAAGATCAAAAAAATTAAGAAAAACTTCCAAGCAACTAATTAAACATGTCATATAATAAAATTATGGTACTCTCCAAATGAAATTTTCATTTTCACCATCATCAAAACAACAACAAACAAATTGAAAGAAAAAAAATTAATAGAACAAATTCCAAGTAACAGATCAATATTAAATAACTAAAATTTCATAAACATCACTAAAACAAAATCATATACCTACAAAACATGAAGAAAAAAAAGGGAAAAATAAACAGGACAAACAAGAATAAATTATCTAATAGCAAAAATACTACCAGTCTCTTAAAATTCCCAAATTTTGATGGTAAAAAAACATGAACTAACAACAAAAAGAAAACCTTAAGAGGGAAAGTTAATTACCTTAAGGAAAGGAAAACAGAAGGACAAGATCTGTAAGCAAAGGTGGAAGTGTTAAAGAAGAAGAAAGAAGTGAAGTTTTTGCAAGATATTAAAGAAGACTTTTGTAGTTGTGTGTTTCTCTCTCTGTTTTAGAGTAGAGTTATAAGAGAGAAGGTGAAGGAAGATAGATAAGAAGAGTAGGAAGGGAAGATATTATTTGTAGGTTAGATATTATTTAGAAAAGATGAGAGGAATAATAATGGAAATGGTGTTTGATGTGTGTGTATGGTTAAAATAAGGGTGACATAATCAAAAGTTGATAAAAAGTGCAAACAAAAAGAGTAAAAAATATATAATGGATGTGGGGTCATGTCCTTTTCCTACTCAAAAGAAAAGGTTAGGACTTTCCTTTTGCTTCCTCCCTCTTTAATTAATAATATAAATTTAACAGCTGCTATTTCTTTTATTTATTATTATTATTATTATTATTATTTCATGCGCTTTTTCAATTTGTCTTCTTTTCTTTCCACTGTTATTGCACAATGCACATGGACATGCTTAGTTACTCACTTATTCTTCCTCTTTATATATATATATATATATATATATATATATATATATATATATATATATATATATATATATATATATATATATATATATATATATATATATATATATATATATATATATATATGTGAAATTAAAAATTTAGAAAATGTATTCCGATAATTAATATATTTAATATTTTTATTGAGTAACATTATAAAACATTGATCTTTTACATAGAGTTTAAATGTTATGTTATACATGGTCAATTCTAGGTAATCAAAACTACCGTTTAGAATCTTAAATTTTTATTTTAAATTTATATGGCTTTAATTAATTGATTTTTTTTTTACTAAATTGATTTGTATGTCAGTTAAATATTAACAATTATCTAGAATATCTAATAATTATTATTATTTATAATATATATTGTACTGATAAAAAAATATAAAATATAAATGTGTTCCTCGTAAAAAAAAACATGAGGACTTAGAAAATTTAGTATGTTTATGACAATTGTAGGTGGTTAGAGTTTGTCTATAACTGTGAAAAATCATATACGACAGTGTTTATGAAAAATTAGAAATCTTATTATTCACATAAGGTGAAAGGCTCGATTAATGAATAATATATTTAGATATAAGTTTATAAGAGGTGTGATTATATGAGTGATGATCTTTGTTAAGAGTTATGCTTTATGATATAATTATAAGTGTGATTTAAGATCTGTCTTTCTCTCTAGTAGGGGAGAAATATTTATAGAAATCATTTGTGCCTAAATTTAGATAACTCGAATGGTGACAACTACTCCCACTTATTTTTTTAGGAGTAATGGAAGAATCATTCTCCTTTTAGATGACATCCTTGTATGTCATAAGTACCATCAGACGAGCCTGTAAATTATCTTCTAAGCAGTACAACCTTTTAGACAAAAGTGTCCTAATTTTGAACCTTAACAAATATAACATTATATAATATAACACTACATTACATATATGATTTATTAATTTAAAAATTCTATATAAATAATAAAATTTTAAGTTCTTTAACATAAGACTTGGTATTTAAGTTTTTTTTTTTTAGAATTTTGACAATGGTTTTTCAAATATGATTTTTTGAAAGAGAGAGTGTCTTGATGAATTAATTTAGTTATCAATTGAAAATAAAATGTTAAATGAAATAAATTATAGTAATTCAATGATTTCATACCTTAAAAATTTAAAATTTAAAATTTAAAATATATTAATTTTAAAAAAATATTTTTATTATATTAAAAATATTTAATTTTAAATTTCGTCTCAATCAGGTATTATAGCTCTTAAGTCAAAAATATAATTTTTAAGAGAATTGAAAAATTCTCTCATAAAAAAAAATAGTATGTTATATGTTTACCTTTTATTTATGGTATAAACTTTATTATATATTAATCTTAATTTAAATATAAAAAATATTAAATAAATACTTAAATAGTCATTGTAAGGTTGAACTTGGTTGAAAAGTGCATCACATGCTTGGTAAGGTGGACAAATGTTTTGTGACTTTTTTGGTTCTTTTTCACTTTAAGATGAGATTCTTAGAGTTTGGTGGTGGCAAGTCATTCATGGATTTTTTTAGAACTTGGTTTCGTACCTCTGCAGTAATTAATTACTTGCTTAATTGGAAAATTATTACTTAATTTAGATAATTGAATAGCTAAATTACATCTCTATCACAAACCCTGCCTACTTTGATTGATGTAATTACAGTAATTACTTACCTAATGTTGATTGTATACATGATCTTTGTCACTTTTTAAAATCTGAATAAAAAATATTGAATAGAAAATATGGTCAATAAAGATTAGACAACTCAACGGACCAAATAAGTATAAAGATTAGACAACTCAACTTTCATAACCTCCCTTAAGTCGTATTCTGTAACCTCCCTTAAGTGGTATTCTATAACCTCCATTATATACCAAATTTTTTTATACATATTTTTGTTTCTAATATAAGTATTTTTGACTATTTAATTATATATTTTTTTGTTTCTAATGTATTATGTATGAGATTTTAATTATTTCAAATTTTTTGTGTTTACAAATCTGTCTACTAGAAACAATTGAAATGAGACGAGTTAGTAATAAATAATATAATATATAATTTTGTTAAATGTATTTATTTCTTTATGAAATTAAAAGAATGCTTTTATTTAATTTTGTTAATAATTATTAAAAAAAATTTAAGTCTCACATTGGTTAAAGATATAATCTACAAAGAGTTTATATAGTGTGACACCCCCTACTTTACCAACCGATTTTGTAGGGTTGAGTTAGACCACACTCTAATTCTATCATGGTATCACGTGCCTATCGATTTAGGTCGCCCACTATTTATATATGCGCACTAAATCTAAAAAGTGATAGGCGCAAGGGGGTGCATTGGAAAAACCAAGTCTCATATATCGATCATTCGGGCCACCCACCGTTTATATTCACGCACAAAGCTCAATAGTGTTGGGCGTGAGGGGGTGTATTGGGAAAAACCCAAGTTTCACATTGGTTAAAGATACAATCTACAAAGGGTTTATATAGAGTGACACCCTCACCTTACCAACCGATTCTGTAGAGTTGAGTTAGGCCACACTCTAATTCTATCATGGTACATATTGACAATCATCAATAGAATGCATAGAAATAGGTCCCCATATGTCCATATGAAGTAATTCAAAGCAATTAGAGGTAGTAGAAGTACGATTAGGGAAGGAAAACCTACATTGCTTAGCTAAGTGACATACATGACAAAGTAATTTTTTATTGAATTTGATGTTGGGAAAATGTTGAGACACGTGAAGCAAAACCTCATTAGAGGGATGACCTAATCTATGGTGCCATAAATCTAATGAGGTGGAAGAAAGATTATTATTCAAACTAGCAGAATTACAAGTATTGACACGTGTGTCATTGTGTGAAGAAGTGTGGATAGGTTCTTTGTGAAGAATGTAAAGGTTTCTATGAGGAACCACACGCCCAATCATCCTCTTGGTAGACACACCTGTATAGAACAGGAGTTATGTGAGAATGAAATGGTGAAATGTGAATTACTACAAAGTTTAGAAATAGAAATAAGACTAAAGTGAAATTCAGGAATATAGAAGACATAATGAAGGTGAATATAACGGTCAAGGATGATTGTGCCAGCAAATTTTCCAGTGATGGTATTCCCATTGAGCAATGCGAACAGGGTCAATGACATGAATATCAGCGAAACATGTAATATGAAGGCATACATGGTCTGAAGCCCCCCGAATCAAGTATCCACATAGATGAACATTTGATGGAATTACCTGCTTGTATTATACTTGAAATGATGTGATTATCAGTGTTAGAAGATGCATCAGGCTTGGAAGGCTGATTGTCCATTCTTGATTTTTGAAGAAGAAAAAGCAATTGTTGATAATCTTCTTTGGAGAGGACACCATCTTTCTTTAGGGTTTGTGAGGACTTTGAGTCTGAGGCGGTTCTGGTGTTTTTGTTGCGATATCCAGGTGGGAAGTCATGCTTGAAGTAACAGGTGTCAACTGTGTGGTTTGTTTTGCGACAGTTAGTGTAGAGCATAGAATTCTTGGGAGTTTCATGTCCTTTGACATGCCCATTGTTTGAATTGCTGCTAGCATAAAGCACGACAGGGGTAACATTCGTAGGTGCAGAGGAAAGGACCTCTTGTTAAGAAATCAGTGAGTAAACCCTGCTAATGTTGGGTAGAGGACCAAGCAACAATATTTGGGTGCGAATACTGTGATAGTTTTCGTTTAAGCCTTTGAGAAAACAAGCTACATACTTCATGTGTTTGTAGTGGCGAAACGCTTTAGCTAAATAGCAAGTGCAGGGTGTAGGATATGTGCAAGAAGATGTGGGGCGAAGATCCTCAAGTTCATCCCAAAGGATCTTCAATTCTATGAAATATTGAGAGAGATATCTATCACC